TTGAAAAGTCTGTTTCAGAAAAGTCTGTGGTTAAACTTCCTGAAATGTTGCAGCAGTAGTACTGCTTTCTTTGTTTCACTTTGTCCTTTTGATTGTTGAAGTTTTATATTAATGTGTGTTCCAGGATGGCTGGGTGGGATTCAGATCAGTGCTCCTGAAGAAAAGACTCACTGCAGCTGATTTCTATAACGGCTACCTGCATCAGACACAGCAGAAGGATACGCCGCGTGAGACGGCCGAAGGACAGTTTTTCAGTAAAAAAGGAGGAATTGAAGTGCATCAAATGAGAAAAAACTCAAAGTTGTGACGCAACAATAATATTCTCACTTAAAGTAAACACAACACCATCTAATGAAATGTACTGTTTTTAATGTGTTATACTTTTAAGTCATTTGCATTCATGCCACAGTTATTTTTTGCTGTATTTATTCTATTGCAATAAATGATTGCAATGTTGATCAGCAGTTTCCAGGAACAATAATGAACTGATTTTTTCCCCCTTTGAATATTTACCTTAAGGACTTTTTCCCCGTTTCTACCAGTGTTAATGGTTGGGCTGTAGATGTGATGGTGTTTGGTTGGGCTGTCAGTCTGGAATTGCCCTCCTCTTTGCTCCATACGGGAATCTCTCAGCAGCACCAAACACTGACGTTAACATGCACACCATACATAAACATGTCCAAATACAGCAGATTGACCAGTATTTATAGCTGCATCAGTTGTTTTCTGCTTTCCTTCAGAGAGCTTATATGACCTTGTTCTAGAAACATTGGGGTGCTGTTTAAATAAAAGCAAAATGCAATAGTTTGCAAATGTTGAACATTGTGAAAATGTTTACAATGTTCTGTTTTATTCGCATAGAAAACCTATCAAATGTTGAGAAAATGTCCCATTTTGTGAAAATATTAGTTCAGACTCAAACTACATAAATTTCTTAAATACAATTTTAGCTATTAGAGAAAAAAGGTATTCATGGTACAGCAACATTAATAACTGTTCACTTTTTTTTTCCTATCGATCCTCTAAAGTTGTTGCAAAACTAAGAGAGGATTCGGGGTCACCTGATCCAATCCTAATTATATGCTTTATCAAAAAGGCAAGTTTTAAGCCTAATCTTAGAAGTATAGAGTCAAACTAGGAGCTGGTTCACAGAAAAGGAGCCTAAAAGCTGAAAGCTCTTCTTCCCCTACTACTTTTAAATACTCTAGGAACCACAAGCAAGCCCACAGTCTGAGAGTTAAGTTCTCTGTTGGGGTAACACAGTACTATGAGGTCTTTAGGATAATATGGGGTTTGATTATTCATGTATGTGATGAGCTGCTAACGAGTATTTTATTTAGTAATGACCCCAACACTGCTGTCGTCTCCGGAGACAAAAGTTTAACTTTTTGGAAGGTGTATGTCCTGTTACATCTGGCATAAAACTAACACCGCGTTTCATAAAATCATACTAAAATTCAAACGTGGTGGTGGT